GGGGGCTAATGTTGCGCTATAAAGGAACTAAAGCATGGTCACATGACTTCACGTCACCACCGCTAAGCTAAAGGTGGCTAATGTTGGGCTATAAAGGAACCACAGCACGGTCACATGACTTCACGTCACCACCGCTAAGCTAAAGGGGGCTAATGTTGCGCTATAAAGGAACCACAGCACGGTCACATGACTTCACGTCACCACCGCTAAGCTAAAGGTGGCTAATGTTGGGCTATAAAGGAACCACAGCACGGTCACATGACTTCACGTCACCACCGCTAAGCTAAAGGAGGCTAATGTTGGGCTATAAAGGAACTACAGCACGGTCACATGACTTCACGTCCCCACCGCTAAGCTAAAGGTGGCTAATGTTGGGCTATAAAGGAACTACAGCACGGTCACATGACTTCACGTCACCACCGCTAAGCTAAAGGAGGCTAATGTTGGGCTATAAAGGAACTACAGCATGGTCACATGACTTCACGTCACCACCGCTAAGCTAAAGGAGGCTAATGTTGGGCTATAAAGGAACCACAGCACGGTCACATGACTTCACGTCACCACCGCTAAGCTAAAGCTGGCTAATGTTGGGCTATAAAGGAACTACAGCACGGTCACATGACTTCCCGTCACCACCGCTAAGCTAAAGGTGGCTAATGTTGGGCTATAAAGGAACTACAGCACGGTCACATGACTTCACGTCACCCACCGCTAAGCTAAAGGAGGCTAATGTTGGGCTATAAAGGAACCACAGCACGGTCACATGACTTCACGTCACCACCGCTAAGCTAAAGGTGGCTAATGTTGGGCTATAAAGGAACTACAGCACGGTCACATGACTTCACGTCACCACCGCTAAGCTAAAGGAGGCTAATGTTGGGCGTAAAGACGTTTAGTCTCATTTAGACACTTGTTAGCAACCTCCATTTTAAATCCAGCAGTGGGGTATTTACTGACGTATTTTAAGTCGTAGAACTAAACTTTAAAGTCTCTTCAGCTTGTGTTAACCACAGACCTTATTTCAGGATAACAACCAAAAATTAATTCAGAAAACCATTGACCTCCAGACCAGGCGACAGGAAGTGAGGAAATGCTCAATCTGTCTTTTTAGATTTTGATGGGTAAATTCTGGGATTCTTTTGGTACATTACCCCCCCTGGAAACAATTAATATCCAGGATATATCAGGAACATCGTTGACAAAAAAGGTGTAGCTCGGGAGAAGATTTACTCTATTAGTGAAACATGGTCAGCAGGGAGACTTAAAGGAATTATAAATTAATATTTCAGGACGATGAATATCTAATGTGAATCTGATTAGTCGTTTGTGAGATATTTCTAAAACCTTCTGAATGTTTTTAACGTTGCAGAGTGACTGGCACCTCTCTGTAAAAAGTAAAATATGTGTTTGTGCATATCTGTATTCCTATGCATGTGTGTATTCAACAACAGAGTAGAAAAATGAATTTCTCCTTAGGGTTGCTCATCTTCTTCTTCTTAAAGGGGACCTATCATGCAAAATGCACTTTTGTACGTCTTTTCTACATGAATATGTGTCCCCGGTGTTCCAGGGAACTCACCAAGTGTCAGAAAACACAACCCTCTCTATTTTCCTCCATACCCAAATCTCTAAAAAAGGGGCTGCAACGGATCTGATAAAAACTGATCCAGATTTGAACACTGTCCTGACGTCAGGACGGTGGCGCTACGGCTATTGGGCCAACTCCACCAATCAGGAGGAGACAACCACGGCCATTGCCGTTCGAAAGCGCTGGAGACGCTGTAGTACATATGCCAGGCCTGTAGATGGTGCTGTTCTCACTGAATCTGCCCTTGCAAAAACAGAGCTAACATTTTTCAAATTGAGCAAAATAAGGCATGGCTAAAATGCATGATCTGTTTGGTATTTTGAAAAAAAAAAAGTATAAATATGCCTTATATAGGTATGGTCCTACACTATATTATTCAAATATAGCATGATAGGTCCACTTTAACTTAGGAAAATAACTGAAATGTAGATGCACTTTTTAGCTCTTTCTATTGCTTCAATCAAATGAGAAAGCTAATCCTAAAACTTCCTAAATAAGAAATGAACAGTAAAGTGAGCAGCTTCTAAGTTTAGGGAGATTTCTCTACCGTGTTCGCCAAGTGAGCAACAAGTTAAAAATATTTCCTCTTATATCACGCGAGCGGCTCAGGCTTCAAATGGGTATTTTAAAGGTTGCATAGCAACAGCAGAGAGCGTGACCGACCAGCAATTTCCCATGAGCCTTTGTTTCAGTGCACGCAGCTCATAAAGAAGAGTCTGCTGGACAGAAAACTGCAGCTAACCTACATCTAATGAAGTACTCAGATACTGTACTTATACTTACTTCTATATAGACTGTTCTGGCACTATTTCTATTTTATTTGTATTTACTTGCACATCTCAAAACATTCTCTTTCACTATTTTATCTATCCTATATATATTCATGTTGCTCTGTTGGAGGAGCCTGTGACTTCAGTTTTTCATTGACATTTCTACACTGTAGCTGCTGAGCACATTGTGATAAAGAATTGAATCTTGAAAAAGTGCAATTTTGAGGTACTTTATGCTGTGATATCTTGATGCCAATACTTTTGTATTTGTTCCTCCACCTCCATGTATCTCCTCTTCCTTTGAACGAGACGTCGCTTCTCATTAAATCTGTTTTTATGTATTAAAGTTGACGTTCTTTTTTATATTTTTTTGTATACATTATGCAGCAATACATATGTGTTTAGACTAGCCTGTAGTTCACCGACATCCTAGGTCAGTGTTATATAAAAATGCAGCACCTTTCTACTTTGTTGGTACTCTACACCAGGGGCGGACTGGCCATCTGTAGAATCTGGAGAACCACAGAACGGCCGGTCGCCGGCCCTTTAAAACTTTAAAAATTGTTTAACGTCATCTTTTAAGTTGCGCTGACGGCCGACAGAGGGCGACAGCGGCCGCTAATGCAGTTGTGTGGTTATTATCTGTCAAATAATCACACACGAAGAAGAAAAAAGACCGGCCACACGAAGAGAAGGGATTAGACGCCGCGGCAGACAGGGAGAATGAAAAAAACATGGATACAAATCAAAGAAAACAGTGGGGCCGAGAAGGCAAGAGGAAAAAGGTGAAGTCACTCGCAGGTGAAGCATATAAATGTCGCAAATTGACAGATCTTTGTGGCAGCAGCGCTGCTACAAGCACTATCATCAGCAGCTTAGAACAAGTGCAAGATGATGAAGATAATGATGAGGGCGTGAGTTCAGATATACAGCCAGCCTCCTGCGTTCATGATGAGGGACAGAGAGTTGAGCTGGTGGAACAACCAGCTCAACTGGCACATACAAGAGCAGGGCAAGAGCAAGAGGTGGGTGAGAATGATCCCTTGAACTGCATAAATGCAGCCTAATAAACAGCTGATTTCTAATAACTAATAACAAATAGTACTGTATGTTTAAGACATCTGAGGAGTGTCCGCCCTCTTTAGGTGAGAATTATCCCTTGAACTGCATAAATAGTAGGCTATTGTAAAAAAAAAATTCTGATGCCACCGCCCCCCACCCCCCGAATGTGGCCGGTCTTGGTCAGATTCCAGGGCTGAATTTTAGTCCCAGTCCGCCCCTGCTCTACACTAGTCCAACATGAACAGACACACAGCATCACAATGAAGTGGCTGTAGTGTGTTGTGTGTGTGTGTGTGTGTGTGTGTGTGTGTGTGTGTGTGTGTGTGTGTGTGTGTGTGTGTGTGTGTGTGTGTGTGTGTGTGTGTGTGTGTGTGTGTGTGTGTGTGTGCGTGTATGAGTGCATGTGTGTGCATGTGTGAGTGCACGCACTTCTTAAGTACCCGTTCTGGTGGCTTTCCAGAATCCTGCTGTATTAATTATCGACGTTACTGTCACCTCAGAAGCCCCGATAATGCTGACACAGCAAGGGCTGAACACACACAAACACACACACACACACAAACACAAACACACACAAACACACACACTCTCTTGTCCAGTGTTTACCCACTAACCTGTTCTGTACCCTAACATGCTAAATGCTCGATATTAAGCTCACAATTGAACGTGTTCATATATTCGTGATGCGCTCACTGCCCATGCGTTCACTGCCCATGCGTTCACTGCCCATGCGTTCACTGCCCATGCGTTCACTGCCCATGCGTTCACTGCAGCGCTGCGTTCAGGGACAGTGAGTGAGCAGCCGTATATCACAGCGTCAGGTTAATGACACAGTCCCCTCCCTGTGCAGATTAGCATAAATAATGCACATGGACCTCTCTGCGTCAGCACTAACTGGTCCGTTATGCTGTTTTGCACTTTGGTGATTTCTACAGTAAGACCTCTGCAGATCCCTGAAGAGCTGAAGTAAGAAAACTTCACGTGAGATATGATCGTTATTTATCACCTGCCATTATTAGAAATTATGATTTACAACTGGGTCATAATTAACTATTTGGTAAATATAAAGATAATCCTAAAATCACAAGTAGTTTTTAGTAAGATGTCCATTAAAAGATAAAATAAACAGAATACAATTATTTAGTAAATTGTGAAAGTTAAAATGTGCACATTTGTACTTCAATATATAACATGTATTTGACAACATAGAGTAGAAGTACAAAGTAGCAGAAAATAGAAATACTCAAGTGAAGTGCAAGTATCTATAAATTGTACTTAAGTTACGGTACTTGAGTACATCTACTTAGTTACTTCCCACCTCCGATAAAAACAAGTTACTCTTCTTGAATTTAAAACTGTGTCTGTTCCCTGACTCGGAGCATCGCCCAATCCCCTAAATCCTGAGAGCTTTAGTTTTACAACCAGACTCCTCCTCTGTGTGTGTGTGTGTGTGTGTGTGTGTGTGTGTGTGTGTGTGTGTGTGTGTGTGTGTGTGTGTGTGTGTGTGTGTGTGTGTGTGTGTGTGTGTGTGTGTGTGTGTGTGTCATTTCACATTATTACCCCAGAGTTAAAGCTCTCACCATGCTGTAGTTCTTCTGGAAGAGAGTCCCGTCACTGTGGAACATGTGAGAGAGAGCGCTCTTCCCCACTGCTGCATCTCCTGCACGCACGCACACACACACACACACACACACACACACACACACACACACACACACACACACACACACACACACACACACACACACACACACACACACACACACACACACACACACACACACACACACACACACACACACACACCCATTTAATTAGCAGTATGTGTCTCATATCAAATAACTGTATCGTGATGTGTTTGTGATGCTTATAAAGAAAGGAGAAACTTCAAACTGTTGCTATGAGCACATTGAATCGCATTAACCCTTAAGAAATGTCAATAAATGCATTTTGTGTATGTATTAGCCAGAAGAAAATGTATTTATCTCCATTTAACGGGTCAGTAACGCGTCTGTTAGCTCAATGTTAGCCCTGTTACCATTAGCAGAGGGCTAAACTAAACTTTAAAAGCCTTACCGACAAGCAGACATTTTGCCCTGAGCTTCACCATCACTGCAGACACCTTCCGAACAAGTTATAATAACTATTTAGTGACATTAAAGCCGCTAAATTAGCTCTTCTTTTTCGTTTTTAGCCGTCTGTTGTCAATGTAAATATCTTCTTCTAACGCTGTCTCTTAGCAACCAGCAGCACAGACGTTTCATTGGTCCAGACAGTGAGCAGAGCGTGGCTGGCGTCGGCTTTGATTGGCTGTCTGTGACGACGTGATAAGAATGTGTTTGAGGGTATTTTTCTCCTGAGAGAGTCTTTCAGGCAAGCTTAAGAATCTTTAATACTTTATTTTGTTCCTTTTACATTTTTCATTGTATTTTTCTTTATTATGTAATGCTTTATTTTGTATTGTATGTTTCTGTTATTATTTTATGCTTTATTTGTTCTTTCTGTTGTTGTTGTATTGACTTCAGGGTTAGGCTAATCCATGTGAATATATTTGAAGTATATTATTAATTCACAGGAGTAAAGAGGGTTGTGTTACAGCTGATAGTAATATAAAAAGCGAGATAAATATAAATAAGTTATGAGATAAATAAGACGATTGTGGTTAAGAGAGGTACTTAGTGGTTTGTGTACTCTGTTATAACAATAATACATGTAAACCACTTTAAGGGTTAGTAATCCACTTTAAGCTATAAATAGCAGGTGTATATCAGTATGTAGTGTCTCTACTTTAAAGAGTCCTCTCCTGCTGATGTTCAGGTGTATATCAGTATGTAGTGTCTCTACTTTAAAGAGTCCTCTCCTGCTGATGTTCAGGTGTATATCAGTATGTAGTGTCTCTACTTTAAAGAGTCCTCTCCTGCTGATGTTCAGGTGTATATCAGTATGTAGTGTCTCTACTTTAAAGAGCCTCTCCTGCTGATGTTCAGGTGTATATCAGTATGTAGTGTCTCTACTTTAAAGAGTCATCTCCTGCTGATGTTCAGGTGTATATCAGTATGTAGTGTCTCTACTTTAAAGAGTCCTCTCCTGCTGATGTTCAGGTGTATATCAGTATGTAGTGTCTCTACTTTAAAGAGTCCTCTCCTGCTGATGTTCAGGTGTATATCAGTATGTAGTGTCTCTACTTTAAAGAGTCCTCTCCTGCTGATGTTCAGGTGTATATCAGTATGTAGTGTCTGTACTTTAAAGAGTCCTCTCCTGCTGATGTTCAGGTGTATATCAGTATGTAGTGTCTCTACTTTAAAGAGTCCTCTCCTGCTGATGTTCAGGTGTATATCAGTATGTAGTGTCTGTACTTTAAAGAGTCCTCTCCTGCTGATGTTCAGGTGTATATCAGTATGTAGTGTCTGTACATTTTAAACCAAACCTCAGTATGTCCACTAGAGGGCGAGCTTTCATGCCTCAGCATTGCATTTAATGTATTATGAGACAGATTTCATATTGTTATTCTAACGTTATTAAATCACTTTCAGGAGTATTCTTCGAAAGTTTAAGATAGAAATATAATTTTAAAAAATCGCATTTATTATTTAAATCAATAATACATGATACACAAACTTACAAGGAAATAATTAAAAGACAATAGACATTGTTCTTCGGCTTTATTGAACAATTTGGAAAAGGCACATCACAACAGTCTGCAGTAAATTAATTTAAACTGAAGGCTTTATTTACACACAAAAAACGATTAAATTAATAAATAAAAGAAGACACGTGTCAATCAGGAATGAAGGTGTGTAGAAATGAGTAAAATGTTAAATACTTGTACAACATATAATAGTTTAGCTCTACTTTGTGTCCGCAGCCTCTGGAATAATACAAAAAACTAACATGGGACAAAATGTGAAAGCGCGTGACAATCCTGTGAGCAAAAGCGCACTCCCGTTATACAACGTGCGCGTCCACGCTGTGCAAGAACAAGAGAGAGAGAGAGAGCGAGAGAGAGCGAGAGATAGAGAGAGAGAGATAGAGAGAGAGAGAGAGAGAGAGAGAGAGAGAGAGAGAGAGAGAGAGAGAGATATATAGAGAGAGGAGAGAGCATCATCAAAACACTGACACACAGCTTTTCTCTCCACGGATATCTCCAGACCAGAGGAGGGTATTTAGAGGTTAAATAATACATTAAGAAACATTTGAGAAAAAAATCAAAGCAGCTTCACATCCTCCAGGATCTCCAGCTGTTTTCGCCCGGAACTCCACGCACATTCAGCGGGGAGGGGAGGTAGAGGAGGCCGAAAGAGGAGCACCATGGAGGGGATGCAGGCGTACGGAGCGGGGAAAGCTGGAGGAGCCTTCGACCCGGTCACCTTCTTCCAGCAGCCGCAGACCATCCTCCGCATCGTGTCCTGGGTGAGAAACACGAAGGAAGGAGAATAATAATAATAACAGGAGGAAGGAGAAGCGGGGGGCTAATCACCTGCAGAGGCCAATTAGAAATAGGCTTATTTGATAGAAATGGGTTTTATTTACCTTTGTTTTTATGTGTTTAAGCCTAAAAGGGCCCAGATTTGGCTTCATATCAGTGAGGAATATTAAGATTTAAAATGAGTTTGTGGTGATTATCTGCAGAGGCCACTTAGAAACAGGCTTATTATATAGGTGCAGGTTCCAGATGGGTTTGATGTACCTGGTTTATGGTTTAAAGGGCCCAGATTGGCTTCATATCAGTGGGAAATAACACCATTTAAAATGAGTTTGTTGGTTCTTACTTACAGATAAATAGAGAATCAGAATCATTACTGCCTATACTGTAAGGGGCTTTACATGACCTTCTTGTTGTTCCTTTTAAAAAGGCCCTAACATGTGGTATAATAGGATATAATATATATGTTTTATTATTCTTATAAAAGTGTCCTGGGTGAGTCAGGAACATGAAGGAAGGAGAGGTGGGGGCTAATTAGCTGCAGAGGCCAATTAGAAATAGGCTTCTTATATAGATGCATATTTAAAATGGGTTTTATGTACCTGGTTTTTATTTGTTTATTGTTTAAAGGGCCCAGCTTCATATCAGTGGGAAATAATACCATTTCAAAGGAGTGTTGTGGTTGTTATACTTACAGATAAATAGCTCGATAGTCTAATATTGCCTTGTTATGTTAAGCATACGTGCATATACTTAGTGGCTTTGAATGACCTTCTTGTTGTTCCCTTTTAAAGAGCCCAAACATGGAGAAATATGTAGGATATAATACATGGTTCTTCTGTATAACATAACTTAAGATAAGAGGTTGTTTGTGCTCTATCTACAGATAAATATCCCTTTATCCTGTACATAATAATAATAATAAATAAAGAGAGCAAATATATACATATATACTCTGGGTTCAACTCATGGGAATCAGAATACTTTATTTATCTCCAATTGGGTTTTGTGACAAACATAGAAATAGTTATTTAAAAAATAAGTTGTGCAAGAAATAGATCAAACTAAATAAAATACATATTTTTAAGTAGGGGTGAGTTGCCCTAATGTGGGACAGTCTGGGACACCCAATCTCTGCCATTCCTTTCACCTGACAACCTGCTTAAAGTTGCATTTAAGGATAAATAATGAATATAAAAGTGAGTTTATGAGTGCAGGATGATGACGTTTTGCGTACTAGAAATGTTTAGACGTCCCACTGGCTTTCTATAGACGTAACAAATCTGTAAAAATAAACAACCTTGTCTTAATTTTGTAATTGGGATTAGAACAAGATATGTTAGCCCTCACTGGAAGTTGTGTTTCCTTTATTTACATTAGCTGTTATTTGTGAAATGCACACAGAGAATCCTGCAAAGCCTAGCATACTGTTTTGTTAGTGTAAAGAGTTACACATTTAAAGGAGGACATCTTTTACAGTAGAAAGTCACACATGTATTTCTCATTTTTAGTGTTTGTGTATGCATTCTTTAATAATGCCAAGAGCCCTTTTTCAAGCACGCTGACTGGATAGAAGTGCTGCGTGTTTCAAACATGAACTCACTAATCCGTGCTTTAACAATGCTTCCCAAGTCTCGAGTGAGGAACACGACAAAAATATGTGTTTTGTAGGAAATAGGAAGAAATTAAACCCACTTTTGGAAAGTTTGACTTACTTAAAGTGGACCTATCATGCTATATTTGAATAATATAGTGTAGGACCATACCTATATAAGGCATATTTATACTTTTTTTCTTTTCAAAATACCAAACAGATCATGCATTTTAGCCATGCCTCATTTTGCTCAATTTGACAATTTCTAGCTCTGTTTTTAGCAAGGGCAGATTCAGTGAGAACAGCACCATCTACAGGCCTGGCATATGTACTACAGCGTCTCCAGCGCTTTCGAACGGCAATGGCCGTGGCTGTCTCCTCCTGATTGGTGGAGTTGGCCCAATAGCCGTAGCGCCACCGTCCTGACGTCAGGACAGTGTTCAAATCTGGATCAGTTTTTATCAGATCCGTTGCAGCCCCTTTTTTAGAGATTTGGGTATGGAGGAAAATAGAGAGGGTTGTGTTTTCTGACACTTGGTGAGTTCCCTGGAACACCGGGGACACATATTCATGTATAAAAGACGTACACAAGTGCATTTTGCATGATAGGTCCCCTTTAAGTATGAGGAAAAATCATATATTGGTTCTATTTCTGTCTTTGTGACTAAAGCTCTGTGTGTGACTGATAGTAAACTTGACGTCCAGATACCATGGAGTGGATTTAAACATGTTATAAGTGTTGAAATAGTTTTTTTTTCTAAATGTGAGATTAGCATTTGGATCTGGATGTGAAGGAGAGTCATGTGTTTATCAGATGAACCGTGAAGCAGGACCTTTTGGAGCTTAAAGAGTCAGGAGGTCAGGACTCTGGTTCTACAAACTAATATATAAGACTCAATGTGAGGAATTTGTGTTTCAGTTGGCTTTATTTTTACTTTAAAGAGTCCTCTCCTGCTGATGTTCAGGTGTATATCAGTATGTAGTGTCTCTACTTTAAAGAGTCCTCTCCTGCTGATGTTCAGGTGTATATCAGTATGTAGTGTCTCTACTTTAAAGAGTCCTCTCCTGCTGATGTTCAGGTGTATATCAGTATGTAGTGTCTCTACTTTAAAGAGTCCTCTCCTGCTGATGTTCAGGTGTATATCAGTATGTAGTGTCTCTACTTTAAAGAGTCCTCTCCTGCTGATGTTCAGGTGTATATCAGTATGTAGTGTCTCTACTTTAAAGAGTCCTCTCCTGCTGATGTTCAGGTGTATATCAGTATGTAGTGTCTCTACTTTAAAGAGTCCTCTCCTGCTGATGTTCAGGTGTATATCAGTATGTAGTGTCTCTACTTTAAAAGAGTCCTCTCCTGCTGATGTTCAGGTGTATATCAGTATGTAGCGTCTCTACTTTAAAGAGTCCTCTCCTGCTGATGTTCAGGTGTATATCAGTATGTAGTGTCTCTACTTTAAAGAGTCCTCTCCTGCTGATGTTCAGGTGTATATCAGTATGTAGTGTCTCTACTTTAAAGAGTCCTCTCCTGCTGATGTTCAGGTGTATATCAGTATGTAGTGTCTCTACTTTAAAGAGTCCTCTCCTGCTGATGTTCAGGTGTATATCAGTATGTAGTGTCTCTACTTTAAAGAGTGCTCTCCTGCTGATGTTCAGGTGTATATCAGTATGTAGTGTCTCTACTTTAAAGAGTCCTCTCCTGCTGATGTTCAGGTGTATATCAGTATGTAGTGCCTCTACTTTAAAGAGTCCTCTCCTGCTGATGTTCAGGTGTATATCAGTATGTGGTGTATTTCAGACTTTTAACCAAAAACAGATTAAAAAACTATCGACAAGAGGACAGGAAGTGCAAACATGCTGACTCATTCCAGGTTTACTACGACTCATTCCTGCACCTCTCTACTGTCTGCCCTTCTAGTAAATGTTGATAAGACGTCTCTGATCTCAGGTGTGTTTTGACGTTTTGTTCCTGATGCTCCGCTCCCTCAGCATCACCCGAGTAGCAACACGTCGCCATAGTAACAGCCACAGTGTGTGTGTGTGTGTGTGTGTGTGTGTGTGTGTGTGTGTGTGTGTGTGTGTGTGTGTGTGTGTGTGTGTGTGTGTGTGTGTGTGTGTGTGTGTGTGTGTGCGTGCTTGCGTGTGCATGCTGGGGGTGGAAACTATCAACACTTTCAACATTTAGTGATGATGGGTGTCAAATAGAGGAGGTGACAGGTGGGAAGGGAGAGATTTGCATGTATTAAATGTAAATATTATCAGATATATCCTGCACGCAAATCACTAATTTGACTATATTATAAATATATATATATATTTCTCTGTTTTTGTCACAGTACAGTGATCAGGAATAAACCCAACATTGTTTACCTTGTGAAGAACAAAGTTTAAAATATAAAAAGTAAACACAAGTTAAAGTGAAAACCTTCAAGAAAAATTATAAAAATATGTATAAAAACACAAATAGTTAAATAACAATGTACACATTATACTTCAATATATATATCATGTATAATACAATACATGCTAATAATATATAATTACTCTTACATTTTAAAATGCATAATAGAAACACAGTGTGTACACAGTAAGCATAATAGTCTAATAGTTTCTAATTGAAAACATTAAATAATATAATTTATTTATTGAATTAAACAATGGTTCCCTTAGATCCTTGAAATCCTTGGAAGTTTGTGAATGTTAGGGAGGAAATCATGGTCTTAAAAACATGAAAATAAGTGGTTTGAACATCTTTATTTTCTCTTTTATACTCTATGAGCGTCTGTAAATCATACAATAACCTTTCTCAGTGTTGCTACGGTAACACACCTTGAACTTAAGGGAATAACGCCTGGAAAGTCCTTGAATGTAACGTTAAGAAGGCGTGTGAACCCGGTTTAAAGTAGACGGGGTGAAGCTGAGTTTAGATCTCTTTGCCGCTGGTTCTGCTTTGATCTGCTTCTTTACTTTTGAAGTTTGGATGTTTGCCTCTTCCTGCTCTGAGCGCCGCTCGGCTGCCGCTGGAGGATCAGCTTTAATCATTCATGAAATCATTACGCACAGAGTTTAGTTAGTTAAGCCTCAGTGCTTTATTTCACTAAAGACGCCGCTTTATACTTCTGAGTTTGTTTCGGCCCATCGGGAGGATTTGCAGATCAAAGTTCCTTAAACTCTGCAGAACAGAAAGTGTGTGTTTGTGTGTGTGTGTGTGTGTGTGTGTGTGTGTGTGTGTGAGGATTTCTTTGAAAGAGTAAAGGGGAAAAAGGGAATATTTACTCACTTTTTTCCCAGCTGTGTGCGTCACTCTTTAGTGTCCCCTGGTCTCCCAGCTGTGTGCGTCACTCTTTAGTGTCCCCTGGTCTCCCAGCTGTGTGCGTCACTCTTTAGTGTCCCCTGGTC